AACGCCACCTCAATTTATGGGGTAAATCAGACCTACCAAAAAAGTAACCGCAGATCTACCAAAAACGTAACTTTTGCCGTAATGACATCTCCGGTTCACTCCGGCAATAATAATTGAAAATGATCAAGCTGCCTAAATTAATTTTTCATATTGACCAGTGTCGATACGTATCTGATGATGTAGCGGTAGCCAACGTTTTGGAGACCCTGGCTAATTCTGGAATCACAAATAGACAGGTCTGGGGAAATAAATAATAAGTCTGGGAACTGAAAGAAAAAAAAATAGACAAATTTGTGTGATTAATAAATGTAAATCCTGTCGTATGATTAAAATTAAAGAATTGTGCTCTCATGTGTCCTTTCCATATAAATATTAAATAGAGCAATTACTATCGCTATGTCGATGATACACACATGATACACACATGATATTCATTTTCGAGACTTTTAACTTTTTATAATTTTATAATAGACTGAAAAGGCCAATTTTCTAAGCGGCATATAGTTTGATATTTAGATTTCCTTTTCTATCCGGGAATGTAAATGTCCTTATTGAATAAAAACGAATGAGTTGTCATTGTGATTATTTATTTGTTTGTTGATCAACTAAAAAGTAAACTTCAAAAAGAGATTCAAATTTCTAAAATATAACTTTAAAACAAAGATGTTTATCAAATATGATAAAAAAAAACTATAAATATTGCTGTATTATCGATATTCGTTTCACATTTTCTCCACACAAGTTTTTAAAAAAAAAATGGATCAAGATACTAACGTAAACATAAATTGCAATAAATTTTATCACGAGGAAGCTCGTATCTGCCAAGATTGTGATCGTGAAAAAGTTTCTTATGGTTGGTGTAAATTTTGTGAATCAGAACATATGCGTTTGGCTTTCACGAGGTGGCAAAGTGGAAATAAATTCATAGATTCATTAATACAACGCACACAAATTAATGCAACACAAGTTTGTGATTACTTGGAGTATATTAACTTTGATAATATTGAAATAATTGAATATGTTGATCGAGGAGGATTTAGCAGTGTGTATAAAGGGTTTTGGATAGATGGTCCTCGTTGGGTTTGGGATGAAAATGAAGATTTTTGGAGGCGAAGTGGTCCCACAAAAGTAGCTCTTAAAAGACTTGATAATTCTCAGAACTTTTCTATGTCGTTTTTAAAACAGGTATGATGTAGAAATTTTTTTCATTTATACTGTATTATTTTTCAGTAAATAAATAAATAATGAATATATTTTTTAATTTATAGCTTGAAGTATATCATAACTGTCTTCAAAATGGCTCGATGGCAGACTGTTTTGGAATAACAAGAGATGAAACAGGGTGTTTTATGTTTGTTATGCGATATTATGATAATGGAAATCTTTATGAATACATAGATAATAATAAAGGAGTTATCAGCTGGAGAGATATGGCTGATATTCTTTGGGGAATCGCAGGTGGCCTTGAAAAGGTTCATTCTGAAGGTCTCTGCCACACAAATTTACACGGAGGAAATCTCTTGATTGAAGATGAAGCTGTATCTACCGATGCAAAAATTGCAGACATTGGACTTCATGGACCAGCTGACAAATCAGTTCCTCAAGATGCAATAATAGGTGTTTTACCTTTTATCGACCCACAAGTGATACTTGGAAATCAACAACCAAGTCTAGCTTCAGATATATATAGTTTTGGAATAATTATGTGGGTTTTAGCAACTGGCCATAGACCATACTTTAATCGAGCACATGATATGCAATTAGCTTATGAAATTTGTTACAAAAATTTACGTCCTGAAATAAGTGAAGAACTTAAATCAGAAATGCCAGAAGAATATCGTAAATTAATGAATCAATGTTGGGATCCTTTACCAGAAAATCGACCAACAGCGACTCAATTAAATAAACAATTATGTGATTGGATTACTGCAATATGTGATGACCCTAATCCTTCTCAAATTTCAAATAGTTTTAGTATTGCTGAAGAGAAAAGATGGGAATCAATTGGAAGAGAAATTGAAAATAAACAATCATCTACATATACTATTCATAAAGATGCGATATACTTCAGTCGTGTTATTGATTGTAGAATTATAAGGGAATAAAATAATTCTTTAACATATTCTTTATAAATTTATTTCTAAAAAAATAGCATCCATTTTTTTTATCCCGACAATGCAGCATTTATGCTTGCTGTCAACTCCGATTTCGAAAGTGTGTTTATAAACGGTTTAGATTGTATAATAAAAGTTTTATTTTATTTTAGGACACCTTTTGCGTTTATGCTATAAAAGTTTAAAAACTATAAAAATGACACATTTATGGGAAAAACTTTTGATTTCTCAGCTAATCACTATGTTGCATAATTAAAATTTCAAACAAGTTTTAGAAATTGAAATCCTATCGTTTCAAAGCGATCCATTTCACTAATAAAAGAAAAGTTCCTATTAATAGGCATCCCATGTGAATTGATCAAAATTTTCCAATGCTTGGATTCGTACTGCGAGGAATTTCGATGCTCTTAAATTACTTTGTGATAGAAATGTAGTATGATGTGCGAAATTTGAAGAACCTGAAGGCAAATTTTAATAAAAAATTTTAAATATAATAATACATAGAGATAGTTTAATAGTCTTTTGCAAGTCAAATTATACACTTCATTTCGAAATTTTTCTATTTTTCCGATTAATTCTCGATTTATTTGCGCCTCTGAAGTCTTTAGACTGTGCGTGCTTACAATATCTGATTTTTTTTCGATTCTCTTCATTGCTTAAAATGTACGGCAAAAATGTCATTATGTCAATCTGACGATTTGGCTAATGCTACAATCACTGACCATTTAATGATGAATGTGAATGTGTTTCAGGACAATCACAATGCAACAAGGGAAATTCAGTACTTATTTCTGCAAGTGATACAAATAAAAAAAGGAAACTTGCGTAAATACAAAAGAACGGAAGGGTAACCTGAATTTTTTTTTTAGTAATACAAACTTCTAAAAAAGAAATCTAATCTTCTCGGCGTAGAACTCAGACACGTACAGTACGTTACGTACGTACGTACGCAACGTACGAAGGTAAAAAGCGAATACAAATTGATGTTTACCTAAATTGAACTTGAGGTATATACTAATTAAAAATGATGTGTAAAATGTAATGACTAATATTTTATCTAACTCTAACGTTCTACTCCTAAAATTCTCTCTTATGTGCTTAATTTATTTTATTTTTGAAATTTTGTATTACTACACAATAAGTAAATTCCCATATTAGGGTTTAAATGGTAAAGTAGGCTTTTTTATCGAATTGCAAAACAACCAATAACGGGGGTTATTTGTAAATAATTCATTATCTTATTATAGAATTTAATATATCAGCCAAGAAATGTCATTAAATTCATAGGCAGACGAGCAAGTTATTGGCTGTGTAGCATACAATAACGGTTTTATCCGATGGTTTATGGCGATTGTTTACTACAGTAAATGACGCGAATTTGGGGCGTCTTGCCAAATAACTTGAGTTATTGAGCAAACACTATCATATTGTATCTCTCTTTTTGAATCGTCTCAATGAGACAATTTGAATGGTACCAAAATTATCCGAATCTAATTATTGGATACCGAGAAATTCGACTCAAACTTTTTAAAAATAATATATATTTATTTATAGCAAATAAATATATAAAAAAAAATAGGCTTAATTTCTTGTGCAGCTTTTTTAGCGTGATTTGTTTTTTAAAAAATAGATTCAAATAGATTTGAATTTGATACAAACATAAATTTGTATAAATTATTTTATTATCTTGTAAATACGAATAATTTGCCATTACAAAATCAATATTTACTGTAGGTCTCATATTTAACGAATACGTATCAATGAATCAAAAACCATAAATTATAAATATTGTTATGAATTTGTTTAAGCAGTTCATTAAATAAATAGGAGAATCTCAATCTCATAATAAAATGGTGTAGATATCTGCCTTTCCTTTACAGTAATGCCAAAATATTATCGGGTATTTAGATTCGAATTCCGCCTCAATAGCATTCATTGTTGCATCACTCTCCCGTAACACTATCTTAATGTAAATTATGATATATAACATAGAATTGAATGTTAAACTATATATGTTTTTTAATTTACCCGGTTGTGGCAATCTTAAACTTTAGAGGAATAATATTATCTCGTCTTAAATATGTTGTAACCAAGTTTTAAAAGCTCATGGTTAGTACAGAGAGACATCTCTAAGTGCACTTCATCAGAACCATATAAATGACTAGACAAACCGGTGCATTTAAAGAGGGTCTGCATTTATAGAGAGTGATTTATGAGTATATATACTTGAGATTGAACCAGTATGTGCATTATAAAAAGAACTTTTATAGACCTGTATCTATAGAGAGTGCATTTGGAGAGGTCTCGCTGTAATGCATTTTTTATATGAACGTGCATAGCTATGTTTGGTGCAGAGTCATGTTTGTCACATGATTTTAACACTAACTTACGGTAATGGTATGTTTTTTTTCCGTCAGTGTTTACATAATACTTTGTTGGATAATTGGCTAGGGAGGTAATGTAATGCATGTGAAAAAAATAAATAAATATATATAAAACGTTGTCAGTCAAAAAAATCTTTGTTTAACAGTTTAATTTGATGTGCATATATTAACAAGTTTATAATTAATATTTAAATATATATCTCAAATTATATAATTATAAACATGTTTATTTTTTTAAAATTTTATTATATAAATTAAGGTTAAATTTGATATTGTCAAATCCAGAGAGAGATATATATACCTTTTCTATTTATAAAAGCAACCTATTTCTAAATGGGCAAACTGAAAGGTTGGGAACCCAAATTTTGTCACGATAGCAATATAATTGACATTTTTTTGATTCATGAATAAATTTATTTTCTTTATTTTTTTTTATTTTTTTTATTTTTTATTTTTTTTTTTTGGGTTATTTTTTATTTTTTTGTATTATTAATATTTTTATTATTAGTACCATACATACCTCATATCACACCAGAACCTTTTTATAAGATCGAACACCAATATATTCTAGATTAACGTACAAATTATGATTGATGTATTTATGTAAGATGCGCATTATCATATTAATATACATATTGATCTGTCATCTTCGCATACGTGTTTTTATTAACATAATCAAAAGTAATAGCCTGAGCATAATGACATAATAATGTAATTTTCGAGTACAACCGAATAAATAATAATTCGTCAGGTCAAACGCATGGAGAAAAAAATGAATAAACAATTACCTCCTGTAGGAAAATCATGGCCTTCATTGAAAATCAAAAAATATGCATTGAACATCAAAAAAGTTCCTTACATGTCCGACAATTTTAAACCAATTAAATATCTAACCACTCATATTCATTGTATTCCAAATGTCATGGATTATTAAGATTCTAACCCTTGAATAGACCACTAAAAAAAGATTCAGGTAGGACAAATAAATGATTTATTCTTAATTTTTTTTTGTTATTAATATATTAAATATAGATTTTTTTATAACATTTCTTGCATGTATTAAAAAAAGCATTTCGTTTAATATATATATGGCTGTCATTTTATGTAAATTTCTATTGCTGCTTTCTAAGTTCTGTTTTTTTCGTGTATTCTCTTGTTCTTATCGTGTTGGATTTATTCCTTTTTAATACTTAGGCCAAAAGAAATGAACGGTACCAACGCACACGATAATAGTAAACCAAATAATAACATGTATCCGAACGAAGAAAATCTAAATTGTCTGGACCAATTTAGATTTATTGAAGGTCGAAGATACCATAACGAAGATAATGCGAATTATTATTTTCCTAATGATAAACAAGAATCTGATAGATTAAGAACTCAACATTTTTGGGTTTATGAAATCTGGAAAGGAAATTTCTCTTCACCAATAAAACAGAAATTAGAAAAGGGAAATATGACTGTACTTGATATTGGATGTGGTGACGGAACTTGGATTCTTGATTGTAGTACCACTTATCCAAATTCAACGTTCGTTGGAGTTGACTTTTCTCCTATGTTTCCATCACCAAGTAGTTGCCCTCCTAATGCTGGCTTTCTACAACACAATGTTCTCGAAGGACTACCATTCCCTGAAAATACTCTTGACTTTGTATTTATGAGATTTATGTCTACGTTTACTCAACGAGATTGGGAACAATTAATGAGTGAGGTTATAAGAGTCCTTAAATATGATGGATGGGTAGAAATTATGAATTTTGTTCCAGAAGTTACAAGTGTTGGCTCTGCATCAAAGCTATTGTCAGATTCATGTGAGTCTTTTTTTTTTTCTTATGAATTTTCTTCTTTCTAGTTTTAAATGCTGATTTACTTAATAATATTTCAAAGGCAATAACTTTTTTGAATCAAAAAATATCAAACTTCATTCAAGTTTTGATATAAAATCTTTATTTGAAAAATCGAATCGAATTACAGACATACATTGCGAGGAACGAAGTAGTCCAATAGGAAAATGGGCTGGTAGAGTCGGACAAGTTGTAAGTTTGTATTTATTTATCTAATTATCAAAAATAGATCATTTTATTTATTTATTTATTTATTCCTTAATTATTTATTTTTTTTTTATCATATGAGGCCTTAATAAATATTCAATGCGCTCTTATGGGTTTCAAACCATTTTTGGCCCCATTCATGAACATATCAGATGAACAATTTAAACATCTAATTGATAAATTAGATGTTGAAGTAAATGATAATCATGTTTATAAAAGTACATATAGGGTTTATGGAAGAAAAGCGTGTTAATATTGTATGTTTAAAAAAGCTCAGAATCATAAATTGAGTTATCGATACAAAAAAAAAAATTATTGCATGGTATATAAATAATTACACATTACATTAGTTCATTTCCTATTTCTCATGTGAACCGTTAAATTTTTCAACTAAATGTTTTTGAAAACATTTTTGTTGTGCATATTTTTATTTTAAAACCAATAAATACATTTAGCATATATTTGAACAATTCTCATTGTATTGTACAAGACTATCACACTTTGTAACAAAAATATTTTAAATAAAGCTTTGTAAAAAAAAAAATAGTGAAACAAA